CTGCTGCAATTACCACGGTAGTACACGAGCGTGTATAGGTGTGCGTAACAGTTGTATCGGTACATGTAAAAAGAGAACAAAGAAAGAAAACGAGAAAAACGATTTTGTAAATTCGATTTTATATCGAATCCTACATCCAGCCGATTGTAAGCTCAACCTGAATTGACTTCAGGTGTACGTGCAAGAAGATAAATATATATTATTTATGATTGTATATACCGAGACTTTATTTATTTTACCACCGATAAGATACGATTACAGTATCTCTGGCTCTGCTCCAGATATCATTAATCATGCGTACCCGAGCATTGTATAACGTGTAAAAACAGGTACACGGAACAGGTTGGCAGGGTCTTCCACTTTAGAGTGATGGTTGTTGGCAGCTGATTTTAATATTGCTCTTGATTGATCGACATTTAATACGCGGTCTGTCGCGAACGCTACGACACGTCGCGTACGCTTCTCATTAGCATAGAATACTTGAAAAATTTTTTCATGCAGCCACTTTGACTTTTTATGAAATTTTACAGCGGTGTGAAATAACGCTGCGCAAGTAGTATCAGCCCGTCCTATGTCAGACGCTCGCCAACGCAGCGGAGAACTTTTTATTTTACGAACGAATTTATTCACGAGGAAACGTATCCATGTTTAATTTCCTTATTCAATTATTCTACATAAACATTGAAAATTATCATTTATTATCATCGTACGGATCAGTAAGAAACATTAAATTTTTTAATATTATAAAATATTTAGGACCATTCTGAGAAATTTTCTTCCATAATATCGTTAGATACAACATACTATCAATTTTGCTAGCACAAGGTTCTTTATCAATTTTTTTCCATGCAACTGCCGTTTGTTATCTCCGAAGTGTTAACAAGCGGCAGGCAAATGAAAATGTGAACACCAAACAGAGATTAATCAATTCGATTTTATTGAAATTTATCATCGATGCCTGCAACCCCTAAATTTTCAAAACTCTATTTTCGTTACGCAAACGACTCCGATGAACGATAAACAAATTAAAATACAATTGTCAATACGCATGTACGCGTGTATTTGAAGTTACTAAAACGCGTAATTTCCAACGTATGAGGAACACAAATTTTCAATTCTCTAAAACCATTCAAAAACCATCCCCTCTATCCGACGATTTCGAATCACCTGTCCCACGCGAGAACATTCATACTTTCCCGGGTAACGGTGGTGACGCCTTCAATGGCGTTCGAATTCACCGCCAGAACAGGCCAGGTAGCACCTTATGCGGCGGTGAACCCCATTGGCCTGTGGTGCGATCAATACCGAGTTTTCCATGACGTAAGTGCGGCCTGCGGTCCTTATTGGTTCGGACATACGCCGCATCCCATTATTTATTAAGACCGCATGAATGAATGTAGTTCCCATAGACGAGAATAAAATCTACCCGGTTGGAAATCGGTAACATCTATCGAGGAAGAACGGTGAAAACAAAGTCCTCGTCGTGTGTGTGTGTGTTACGGCCCTGTTGAAAATCAGCCACAGAGCAGAGGGAGAGAGTGCAAGTGGCCGCGAGCGACAGACGTCCTTTTAGAGACGCTTCTTCCCCTCCACTTTTCATTCGTACGGGCACATGCACGGGAAGAAAGACGGGAGAATTCGTGCACAGGCCGCGGGTGGTGGTCTCTCGAATGGACAAACATTCGCGCATGGCACGGGGTGAGGTAAGGGGGGGGGGGCACGGTGGTGGTGGTGGTAGAGCGAGCAGTTCGCGCAACTGCGGTCTAACACACAGAGAGAGCGACCAAAACCGAGGGAGGGTGTCTCCTCTCCTGCCTGGTGGAAAGGTCTCCTCTTCTTTTCTTTTCCTTTCATGGTGGGACCGATAGAGCGTTGTTAGAGGAGAGAAAAAAGAAAGAAAAACAGACAAGAGGGTTAGAGAATTGGTGTACGTAACGGTGGCCAGAGTCTCGGGCGATCGCTTAGGCTAGAATCGTAACAGGAAGTCGATTCGCGGCCGGAAATTAGCCCCCTTCGAAACGGTAGACCGGTTTTCGTTCTTTCTCGTTTCACCTCGTTCCAGAGTGAGACGGTGAACGTGAAGAGGGTAGAGGTGGTAGTGGTGTGCGTCGGACAGAGATAGGGAAGGTAGACGAACACGCGTGGGAGGGAAGGAGGGAGAGAGAGAGAGAGTATAGACGGTGGATAAAGAGAAGGTTGACGCGCGGTAGAGGGAGAAAGATGTAGGCGAACGTAGGTGGGAGAGAAGGGGAGACGAAGGGTAGATAGAGAGAGCGAGAGAGCGAGAGAGAGAGAGGGATGGAAGGTTTTCTGATGGAAGAGCGAGAAGGAGAGATCGAGCCGTCAGTGAGAGTAGTACCAATCGCGGAGCGTTGGCGGACATAAGCGCGCTAGGGGTGTGGAATAAGCTCATTCGTGTGTTGTTCTAGCGTCGAGCGTAGCGAGAAAGGGAACCGCTGGAACACGGAAGTGAGAGGATCCAACGGGAGTTCGTCTTCTATCGTCATTCGGACGTTCGATTGATCGATTTCGTGGATTTCCCCGGTTTAACGAACATTCCAAGAAGAGAAAACGTGTAGTAATAACTGGAGACGCGTGTGTGAATGATAATCAGTGCGCGAGCAACTACGGTAAACCATCGTCGCACTCGCGATAACAGCGTAAAGTGGTCGTTTTAAACCTGACTGGGGAAACGACTTGAGCAAGAGAAAGAACGAGAGACTGGGTGAAAGAGTAAGAGAGAGAGAGAGAGAGAGAGAGAGAGAGAGAGAGCGAGCGAGAAAGAGAGAGAGAGAGGGAGAGAGAGAGAGAGAGAGAGAGAGAGAGAGCGAGCGAGATAGAAGGAACGAGAGAATCCATTTTCTGGAAAGGGGACGATATAAGAGATTCGAAAGCTTTGAACAGCTGATAGGAAGAGAAAAAAAGGCCAGAGCTCTGTTTTAATCGTGGTGAAAGCGACACGAAAACCTCGGGGACACAGCCGGTCAGCTGAGAAAACGGCTCTCGTGGGTGTGGAACAATCCGGTCTAGGGCGATTGATTGTGTGGGTGTCGCGGTCGCTGCAGAGACGTCGAAGAGCGCCATCGTCGTCTCGGCCGCCACGTGAATCGCAAACACCGAGGGGAATACTTGTAGCGTTGAATATCGTGTGTCTGGGAAACGAGACACGCATACGTGGCACGGATTCGATTCGAGTATAATCAAGACTACGCGTGGGGTTGTTCCATTGGCGTCGAATTCGCAACAGTTTCCGCTACTGCTCGTGTGATATTCGTCGAAAACCAGACGGAGGATAATGATCTAGTTCTATATGACTCTATATATCGTTGTGAAAATTTGTCGTTCACGAAAAAAGTACCGATCATCGACGACGACGACGACGACGTTTTCAAGACGTGTTTTTTACTTTTTCTCTACTTTCGAACGTTGAATATCGTTTCACAGTGTATTTAATCGTTCAATGAACAGAAGAAGAGGAAGAAACAGAGAAGAGAAGAGAGAAGGATACCGGAGTAAATTCGAGTGACGTCTATACCGTAGGAGAGAATCGATGAAATTCCGAAAACGTTCACGCGAGAAAACATGACCACGTAGCCATTATCCTAGCGTATCCGATTGGTCGCGCGGCCGTCAACGCGACACTTGGGGCTCGTGCTGAAACGCGGACTGGTCTTGTTTTTCAAGCGGGTTCACCTGCGCCCCCGGCCGTGTACAAGGATCCGCGTATTCTCCCCCTGCAAAGTTCAAGAACCTGGGCTTCGTGTGTACGGCAGAAAACGAGTGCACCAACGGGCCACCCGTGACCCGTTTTCGTTTTCAATCGATGTACTCGTGAACTGGGCCGCACTCGTCCGCTCGAAACACCTCGATACCTCGCTCGAGGTGTTCGACCATCAAAACAGAGAGGGACTAGGTGGTAAACAAATCCTGTGAAGCTGATGAAAAGCGTCGCGAGACGACAAGTAGTAAGATAGATAGATAAAGAGACTACAAGATAAAGGTGATATACGTATATATATAGATAGAAAGAATCAGAGCACGTTAGAGGCAAGCAAAAGTGGGAGAGAGAAAGGGAGAGAAAGAGTGAGAGAGAGTGAGAGAGAGGGGAGAGAGAGAGAGAGAGAAAGAGAGATAGTGAGAGCAGTGCGCACATTCTAACCTCGCCAGGCCGCCATATCGAGGACGAAGCTCGAGGAGGAAGCTCGCGAGTCGAAGGTCGCCAGCTTGTGGAACAACTGTGGACATCCGCGGGAATAATCATCGTTCCATGCTGGCTTCGAGCGGTGGACGTAGAGATAGAACGGAAGAGAGAATGCGAGAGCCTCTCGATAGCCTGTGAAACATGATTTGTCATACAGATGCGGTCGCTGGTAATCGTACGACGAGAGACAACGACGACGAGGACGCCGACGGAGACGAGGATCATCACGGGTCTGTTAAGGCTCGCGTCGATGCCTCGACATGTGATTATGATCACGCTCGCATGAGTGGAAGCCTTGATAACGCGCGGACGAACAAGCCGCCTGTTCGGTGTCGAGTCGTTTCCTCTTCTTGTCCATTTATATTTGGGAGAGAATTGCCGGTGCTCGTCGACGAGCATCATTGCTGTGTTGAACAGCAACAACGCGAAGAAAAAAGGAAGTGGAAGCAAGAAGAAGGAAAAGAAGAAGAAAGAGAAAGAGGAGAAGAGGAAGAAGAAGAAGAAGAAGAAGAAGAACAAGTGGAAGGCTCGACAGCGCGTGAAAGGCACAATAATAATCTTTGCTCGTCGAAGGCGTATTCTTGTTGTCGCGGCCAGTTGCGCCGATCACCAGGTGTCGGATGACTCCCCCCGTACGACACAGCCCTCCCGTAGTCGTAGAAAGGACGCGATATCCCGTAGGAACAAGCGTTGTCGCGCGGCGAACGTATCTCGTCGCGATCTCACATCGGCGGCGTCGTCGGTGCTGCGCCGGCCCGCGCGTCGCGCTAAACTCCTCGCGATTAGACCTTCCCGTGCACGTTCCTATCTTACGTCCGTGATGGCGGCTGTGCCTGATATGTCGCACCTCACCCCCGAGGAGAGGAGCACCATCGAGGAGGTTATGATCAGGCAGAAGCAAGAGGAGGAGAAGGAAAATGAGATTATGAGGTACGTATATTTTCTTCTTCTTTTTCGTTTCTGTTTGTTTTTAGTGGTGAGGATGATGCTGCAGTTGTATCGAATGATACTGTACCTTTTTCGAAGATTCTCCGATGGAATTGTTGTTTGTTAGTTAAAGTTCGTAGGATTCCTGATAATCTAGGTCAGTTTTGGTTGATTTTGAAAAAGGATTACTAGCACTATTATCGAACAAGGTTTCCTATAATGGTGTACGAGAATCATTTGCTGTGAATGGTACTGTAGGAAATGGTAGATCTACTCGATTGGTTGGCAAACTGTTAAGAGTAAATAGGACGAATTAATAGAATTGAATTATGATTTAATTGTCACGATTCAAGTCACTACTAGACTGTTGAAATGTTCCACTTTTGCATGTCAACTAAAGTTCATAAAGATAATGTTTATTTGAATTTAAAAAATGACTTCTACTCCCCTCTGAAAAATCTGACGTTTCATCTTAGGATATTGCCAAAAGAGTAATTTATGTCTGGAGACAATTGTTAGAATTTCTAAAATTCGCAAATTCCACGACAAGTTTTTCTACGTATGAAAAACGACGAACCAAGACCACGCACGAGTCACTTAAATCAATCAACAAACTCTCGGCTCATCTCCAATAATCGCAGATAAACGTAACACAATTTTTTCTCCGTAATTTTTTTATTCTCGTACCCATGAAGAAGATTAGCGTCGAGGAAAATCTCTCCCATGGAAATCAGGTGGCTTTACGTGGCTCGGTGAATAAATAAAGGAGCGAGCAACGATGCCAGAAAGGCGACCGCGTCTGCAAGTAGTATGAGGTCTGAATGGTCAGACGTGGGCCAGGCATACGGCCACGAAATGTGACCGTGGACGGTCACGCGTCGTTGATCAGAATTACTGAACGGATGAAACGATGTTCGATCGATCGAATGCCGTGTATTTCTTGACCAGCAAATTGTCCCCTTCGACGCGTTCCGCCTATTTTCTCCGCTCACCTGCTCGTTAGTCCTTGACCGTTTTATACCTATCGCATCTTCCCTATTTAGGTATTCATCGCCGCGCGGCTGATTATCCCGCCAGTTCCTCTATCTGAGAAACGAGAATCTTTTCTGTCACGGCCTCGTGAACAAACGATCGAGAAAATATCGTCGATAATTCCACCCAAAAATGTCAACGAAGATAATTTCCCTCTGTACAATCTTCCCCCACTTTGAAAATTAAAAGATCTAATTTAGTAAGAACAGTAAACATCGCTAACAAGCGAGCTGCTTCGTTAAGCTTGTCAAACGATTCCCGTAAACACCTCGTGGAAAAAGAAAGCAACGAAAACTGACCCTTTTAACCAACACTCTCTCTCTCTCTCACCTGATGGTTTGACGGATGCACCGGCAGCCCTATTCGCATGTAATTACGGTGGCAGAGAGTCGCGTAGCGAGGCGACGCCGAGGAAAATGGACGGCGTTCTTCGAGGAAGGCGTTTTATTGATAGGTTGTCGCTGATGGAAAACGGGAACGTGAGAAAGCAGTCGAGCGGAGGAACAGAGACGGATAGATAGATAAAGAGAGAGAGAGAGAGAGAGAGAGAGACTTGGAGTAGTGAACCAACGAGATAGACAAAGAGGGAAGCAAGTAAAAGAGGGGTGAATCTAGAGAGACAGAGACAACACACACACACACACACACGTGTATATATAGAGAGAGTATGTAGAGAAGGGATGGACACCCAATGGAGAAAGAGAAGGAGCGAGAGAGTAATGAGGAAAGCGTGCTTCGCCATACCGATGCGAGATCATGTAATGTCGACGACACGCATGTAAAATGCAAGGCAGCAAGCCTTGACGTGGCACGGTAACGAGCTGCCGTAGTTGCATAGGGTATGCATAGGGTATGCAGACTGCACCCGGTGTGGATGGAGTGTGAAAGAGGCTGTGGATTGGCACGGTAAATTCTTCGTTCGTGAAATACAGAGAACAGACGTGGAGGGGTTGGGTGGTGTTTCTTGGAGGTTCTCCTCCACCGGTACGAAAGTGTAGCAAGTTTTCACGGCTCGACATATACGACTCGAACGAAAAGCCTTCGTTTTTCCCTTTGCCAGGCGGCGGTGTATGCTCGTCGAACCACGCCGGGGACCCTTTGATATCGCGACGATAATTTTAGCCCCGGTGTGGACAAGAGTCTCGCTGGCGCATAGGAAGGCGGCTCACTTCGATAGACAAAAATAGACGTAACCTTTTCCATCCGATGCGTACACAGGCGAAATGTACGTACCTACGCGTGAGAACTGATGCAATTTTATGATGTAATTGGGGATCGAATGTTCTCCGACAAAGAGTCATTTCTTCTTCGTTCACCTTTCGCGTTGATCGATGCACTATTAGATGCATCAGTGCATTACCTTCGGAGAGATTGTGTTCTCAGGCTTTTGAACAGTTTCAGGATGCTTGTTTGTCGTGGACGAGGCACAGTTTGTGCGATGATCCTTACTGTGGAGGTTATAGTTGGCGAGAGTAACGTTACGATCTTACTGACTCTACTATGGTACGTTTATCTATGGTTTAGTGTCGTTTTTTATGTGTCTCGAGGGACTTTAACGTTACTCTCGTGCATTTTGCATATTTTGAAGATGAAGAGAGTTAGATGATGTCTAGCGAGATAGATGAAAGGTTTGTAGTCTACAGTGATGGCATTTTATTAAACGTACGTGTACGTCTTTATTCTCTTCCACTGCACCAAAATAAACGATCGAACTGATAGGCAAACCAAGAACCGTTCCACATTACCATTGATCGAAAATGTTTACTCTATTTACTCGAAAATTCTTCAGAGAATTTTTACCACTCGTGTTTCAACCGCTTTAGCAATACCAGCCTCTCTTTCTCTCTCAGGGACACATCGTACGCGTTCTTCGATTTCTTTTTTATCTACGGATATTATAAAGCTCGAATGGACGGAAGTTTCGACACGAGCACAGCAGGAAGAGGGTGTAGATTCCCCTTTGTTCTCCCGAGGCACGTAGCCTCGTGTGAAAAGTCGCGTAGCGTGGATTTTCGTCGGATGGTGGATTCGCGGCGCGTGAATCACGGCCGTGTGGCGTTCGTTAAGTAACCTACATTTCTCCTCCCTCCTCGGCTTTGATCGCCAACCCCCTTTGTCACGGAAGAATTCCTTTTTTCTCTCTCTTTCTTTCTCTTTGTCGCGTGACGGATAGAACGAGGGAGACGTTTCGGCCCACCGATCGCCGTTGCGTGCTCGCGACTCGCGCGCGATTATTGGTAAAGCAATTAGAGTAACGTGGGTGGTGTACACACGTACAGATTCAACGTGTACGTGTGTATCCTTTGTGACATGCAGCCAAGACCTTTGACTCGATCGGCAAACTCGAGATTTAGGTTAACCTCCGACTGTTCCATGCAAATTTCACCTCGAAACTACCACACACGACTGTATTTAACACGGATCTTTCTCTTTGTACCGTTGGTTACACGGTACAAAAAAAGAAAGAGAAGAAAAGAGAGGGAGAGAGAAATTCAATTGGAAAAAAAATAGAAAGAATTTTCGAGGCTATAACCCTTCCTGAAATTTCCTTCCTTCACGTACAAGCGAGCCAGAGACCGCCACTTCCGGTCGAGGAGCTCCAAGTCCGGTGCCAACTGTTCCTCCCTCGTGCATTCGCGCTAACCTACTTGGCTGACGATGCCTTCCTCTACTCTGGACCTGCTCGTCATCCGCTTCCCTTGTGATTAGGGCGGTTAACGTTGTTTACGAGCCACCCTTCCAAGGATTTCTTCGTTTCATCGTCGAATTCGCTACGTGGTTAAGTTTAGACGATGGAAGGGGGTCGATTGAAAATTTGTATGGACAAGTGTGTCGCGGAGGATGTGTTTTTTCGTTGGAATAAATTGACGAACACTGGGTACATTCCGTTCCAGTTCGATTACCTTGTTGTATAAAATAACCGTGCTACGGAAACTTGGCTTAAGTCTTTCTATCTTAACCCTTCAGCTGTGGAGATTCGAAGATCGATTTAACGTGTTCGTGATTTTTAGGGTGAGGGACAATGTTCACTCTCAAATCAGTGTTAATACATCGGAAGATACCTCGTACGAAGAATGTAAATGCATAAATGAAGCTTTACAAAAAAATTGTAACTACGTTGCCGATTTCAGAGGTTAACAACTCTTCAATTACACGATAAAGTATCCTGTCCCCGTTATGTCACTCAAAAATTGTCTACCAAACCGTTCCCTCGTTGAATAAAAGAATCAAAGAGGCACAGAACTCACAGCAAAGTGCATTTTTCATCAACCATACCGTGTTCCACGCGAGCTATACCAACAGAGGCAAACTTTCCTCGCCAACTGTTATCTTATCCACTTGTACTGACACTTGCCGCTCTACACACGTTTTCTACAAGCCATAAACGCGAAGACTGTACTTTCTCAAGTGCGATAATAAGACGTCCAAGTGCGTTCTACACGTTGGTACGACGATTTCTACGTCGTTGAACGGTTTCTCCGTACGAATTTCGTCACGTTCCTTCCGGTGCTTCAGCGAAATCTGCGACGATTTCTTTTTTTTTTTCGACCGGAAAGTAGCTACAACGCGCATACTCGATGCTAACCGAGCGAATTCTCGGACGTCTGATGGCTGTTCCGGTCTCTTGGGTCTCGAGAAGCCCCGACGAAAGCTAAACGAGCAGGGAAACGTCGCGCTGCGAATTAGTTACGCGGCCGGAATTAAGTAGCTGCCGCCTAAACGAAATCATAGCGAGGGCAGATATAAAAGTGGAGGAGCTGCCGCGGCTGGCTGGTGCAATTTGCAGAAAAATCTCGGCTCGACGAAGGACGACAGATGGAATTTTTATACAGAGTGAATCTAGATTCTGTTTGTACGGTCTTACGTGTACGGTCCCTCCTCGTGGTTCAAATGAATTTACAGAGATTGTGAGAATAAGTTGGATACGTTGCTGTTGTCACTCCTGAATCAACTTAATTTCACAATTTAATTTATTCTTTTCTTTTATAATATTTGTGTGACGATACTTTGTCTACTCTCTGTCTATGTTATTTTGTGTACAAATGGAAAGAAACGAATGAATAAAAATAGGTCGAGATAAGTTAGATAACACGGTGGCTGAATTAACCAGTGCTTTAGATCCTCTGTAAGTAGAATCTTCTTTAAGGTTGATTATAATTTGTCGTTCTAGCGTATAAAATGGAAATTAAGAGTATACAGCAGTCCACTCATGAATAAAACAAACGAAACTCGCAAAATAATTAAATATCCTGCCATTTCTAAGTCACGTGAGCTTATGAAGAGTTAAGTAAATTGGATATTTATTCGTGGACCAATTTCTCTGTCTCCGTTTCAGGCGTCGTCCTCTGCTTTATCTTTAATCGTTCCATAAAATTCAGTCCAAAAGCACCTACGATCGAAAAATGTGTACATTACCATCGTCGACTCAACCAAATCGACGATCCACAATTATCACCGACAAATCGATTTTATATTCGAGCAAAAATACTCTTAGATTCCTCAAAATAACTTATCGAGAATGCAGAACTTTTCAGCAATCGAGCAATCGTCTGAGCGATCAATTTGCGAATGATTAGAAAGCTGTCGTTTCGTATTACACGACCTAATAGTTATTCACATAGAATCTTCGTTCCTCGAGCGTGCTTTTCTCCACTGTTTTCTCTCCTCGAGGCTCGTCAATGTGAGCATACCGAGAAGGACTCCGTATCTGTCCTCGAAGCTACTCGCCACGACGAGGAGAAACGACGACGAAGGGGCTGTTAGAACGCAGCCAAGCACGTACGTACGTACAACGTGCGTCTACATATTTATCGGCGCTCTTTCCACCTGGGGGGAGGCTGTTCTCTTTTAACGATTCTTCCTCGCGTGCACCGTTCGTTTGATGCCTCGATACGAAATTTGCATACGACGTTCGACTGCTTCCCGAACCGCGATCGTTCCCTTTCTCCACATCTTTCATCTAGCCTCGAGTTAACCCAGGGAAATGCACGAAAATTGAATCTCTTTTTACCGGGTCGATAAAAGTTTCATCGTCCTGTATTCTGAGAAGGTTGCTTTTTCTTTTTTTCAAAGTTGCCATTTATTCGAAAGTCGCCGAAAGTTTCTAGAGCACTTGAGCGTAATGTAGGGTGCTTAAAAAAAATGTTAACATTTACGCGGAAGTGAGTTTTTTAGAGAAACAGCTGATAATTTTGCCTTCAAAGTGTCTCGTGTACCTATTCTTTGAATCTTCGTTTCTTTCGCGAAGAGAAGAAAAGAAATTATCGGGTCACCCTGTAAGTTCGTATTTTCAAACGTAACTTTAAATTTCAGGAGAAAAAACGTAATCGTTTGCTCGTTTCAAAACTTCTTACCTTGAGCTTTTCGTGAAAATATTTTTGCAAGCGTTACCATTTTTCTGAAGCACCCTATAGGGAAGCCACGCAAAGGTGTCGACTTAACAAAGTGAACTTCTTCGTTTCATTTCTCCTTTTTTACAATTCCGAGAATCAGAAGTTACTTCTTATTTCTTGTTTTAATTAATCCTCCGTCTGTTTTGTGGTTTCCAGAGCGAAGCAGGACGAGGTGGAGCTCCTCGAAGGAAGGGTACGAGCCTGCTTGGAGAAACACAAGAAGGCGGGAGTGGAGTTGCACGCCACGTGTCAGATATGCCTGAAAACCAAGTTCGCCGACGGCGTCGGGCACATCTGCAACTACTGCACCATCCGGTGCTGCGCACGCTGCGGCGGAAAGGTCACTCTACGGTCGAACAAGGTAGGTGGGAGAGATCGGAAAAGAAGCGGCAAGATATATTGTCCGGAGGAATCGAGCCCTCCTTGCTCGCGCGCGCTCTAATTCCCTCTGTTTTTCTTCCTCGTCCGCGTTTCACGCTCGAACACGCCAGGGTGGGGTCCCCGCCGACTGATTGGCCACGCCAACTTTCCGTATTCGATCCGCTGTCGTTGAACTTTTCGCGGGTGCAACGTAGTTCAGCCCTCGCTGATTCTTTGGAAGTTCCAATTTTTTCTATTCTTCGTTATATCTTCGTGAGAATGTTAACGCCGGATAGGCGAGTTTCTTCCGATGAAAATGAGCCCAAACACGACCCAATTCGGACTGTATTTAACCGAAAGGGTTATACGGGGTGTACCTTGATTTTCGAATCGAGGTTAGATGAGTTGGTGAATAGTAATCGGAATGGGGTCGTGTTTGGGCTCATTTTCATCAGGAAAATCTCACTTTTGTGAAGATGTAACGAAGAATAGAAGAATGTTCTTCGTAGATCCAAAGTTTTTTTAAGCAATAGAATGTATTACGAGGTCATTGGCCCTGAGTCTTTAAAATTGTCGCATTGGAAAGTTTTCTGTTTGTTCGTAAAAAGTTTGGAATGGTCGTGACGAGAGATCGAGCGTTTTCAGGGCAGCAGCGCCCGATAATCCGCTATTTTTCTTTTAATTACGGAAGCCACTTAAATTTAGTGAACATCCACACTTTGAGGGATCACGAGTTTTATTTGTCGCCACGCCGGTCAGGCTCGCGACCGAAAAAGATTCATTACCTAAATGAAGGGATCAAAGGAAATCCTCTGTGACGGTGCATTCGGTACGCGAGCACCGGAAACACCTCGCTCGCTCTCCCCCGTGACATTTCAAGGCTCGCTCTTTTCACGCCGCTGGGAGGAGATCCAAATAAATTCTCCTCGTGCACAAATATAGCTCAACCCTTATCCTCTTAATTGTCACCAATGTCTTGGATAATTTCATACAAAAAATCAATCCTATCTTACATTCAGCCAGCAGATCAATTGATGAATAGGCAAAAAAAGAAGTACATTACAATAGATGTTATATTGGGTTGTCCTGAAAACTCCTGTCGATTTTTAAGTAACTAAGTAAACTCCACGCTTTAACCCTTTCGTGACCGAATTATTTTTTTTTCTTTTTTTGAAGAATTTCTTATTTATCTACGGTACTTCGCGAAAGTACCATTTTTTCTTGACTCAGCTACAGCATACAAGGATTTTACAGTTACGCAACGTGGATTAATCGTGAGTTCGAAAAAGTCATTGAAATAGGGGGTGTAAAGAGGAACGTGATGGGATCGATAAACGAGATCGTCGATCGTACACGCGAAGGTCCGCCACGAGGCAACCGAATCGATGGTCCGATGGCGTGAAAACCGGCCCGAAAACCAGAGTCACTGGCTCGACCGCGCTGATAACTCTGATCAATGGGATCTTGGGCGCGAATCCGTACACTCGGAGGAACGGAAACGAGGCTACGATTGCCGACTCCTTCCAACTATTATCTCGCGCCTGTCGCTATACGTTTCGCTGAACTATATTCGCCGTTGCACAATCTCGCCACCCTAAATAGAACGGCGGACTTCGAGGCTGACTTTCTCGAAAAATGCCGTCGTATTTTCTCACACATTTTCTCCTCTGGAAATTTTCTAACCTAGAAATTTTCGACTATTTCCAAGCTTCACGGGCGAAATTTTCGAGTATATCAAACGACGTGAACGAAGATCAATTTTTTTTTTCTTCTTCCAACGATAAAGTAAATTTTGAACCGTTCAAAAATTCGATTAAGGTGGTTGCACCGTCTGAAGACAGAGTGCACATACACGTAACTTTAATCCGCAGCTCCTGCGTAACTTTCACGATTTTATGAACTGCGGAAAAAATATTTTACGCACTTATTCCAGATCCACGGAACCCTTGTACGATCTTCAACGCCTGCCGCCCTTATCTCGAGAAACCCCAGAATTTTTTCACGGATCTCACCTCGAAAAGTACTATTCTAGACGCTTAAAACTATCCTTGAAAAGAATGGTTCTATTTTCTTTTCGAACGATCAAATCGAGCAACCCTGTTATAACAAGAAAAAAGTGTGAACCGAAATGTTTAAACGCTTACGAGATCACGCGAATAAAAGAGGCAATTCTTTTTTATCGATGAGGAAAGTTTCGAACCGCTGAAAAATTAGATCAATATCAAAGGGAATGGCGGCACAAGCGTTAATGGCGGAAGAGTGTCTCGTTCGCGCGTTATCGAAGATTCCAGCGATTTCACGCAGCACCGGGAGTTCGTGGAAAATTGCATCCGCGCGGCGCTGTGATTTATCGCGTTTTCAAGGCGGTCCATTTATTCTGAACGCGAGAGAAAGAGAGAGAGGAAGAGAGATTTCGAGACGACGACGACGACGGCGTCGTGGCTTGACCGTGTTAAAAGTGCAGGCCGATCGAGGGGTTGGAAAATGTCAACTTCCTGGAAACAATTAAGAGCAGTCGTGTCGTAAAAGACGATAACCGTGTGCGCGTATCGTCGCGCACGCCTGAAATACGTGGAAATAATTGACCTATAGCGGCCTCTATTCCTCTCTTCTCGAGCTTCCCTCTCCACCATTACTCTTCTCCACGCTACACCAATTAACCCTTATCGCGCGTGTGTAGCGTATGTGGGCGTAATGCCATCGCTAAATAGCCAGCACAGCGAATACGTTCTCCATTTATGCGCCAACGGTATTTCCACAGGCTGCAATTTCGATGGGACTTTCATCAATGAGAATGAAATAGTGCCCCACGGCCTTTTTATTTCGCGCCACTACTCGCTTTTTGAACTCGACACGCCCTTCACGATTCCCTGTACTCTCGTTTCAATCGATATCGCCGATCCCGTGATAGAAACGATCATTCCTCGCCTCGTTCGACTTTTCTAATTGACTTTATTTCACGGGGATTATTATTCACTTGTTTCGCTCTTTCTGCCCGCGAAAATCGTGCAAAAATTCGCGTAGTAAATATAGCGATATTTGGAACAAGAATTTCAGCCCTTTCTATTTTGCAAAATGTGTGTGATCTGATAATTAACACTTTCACGGTGATATTAATTTAGGAAACAATCTTTCCGTGTTTCGCGTTCTGTCACGATTCGGTATTCATTTTTATATACCGAGAAACGTTGCGAAAAATATATCAAGAGCTCTAATAACGTACCGTAAGCATCTTTTTTTTTATGAAAGTCTCGAAAGGGTTAAGTGAAAAGGAGACCGCAAGAAGCTGAAGGAGAATTTATGTTTCACCGTTGGAAGTGTCGAGAATTCTACAATTAATTATTCTCACTGTTTTTCAACTTTCTTTCGGGAACTCGTGTTTCGTAACTCGATTGCTTGACTTTTCCACGTAATTTAACCCGGTTTTTGAGTGCATCCGGGGAAACAAGAGCACCCGTGGGGTACGCTCGTACGGAGAATGCACGCGGCCGTATTCCAGCCAGCAAGTGGCGGTATAATAATAGAGGCAGACGCGCGGAACTTCGGCTTACAACTTCCTGTAAGTTTATTGGTTTTCGTCGTACTTTCGTGCGGCTTAAGAAATGGAGGTTGGCCGCGCGCGCGGTCGCTCTAAGTGAGCTACCCTTCGTCTTGTTGCCTCTCTGGCCACGTATTCCTCCCGAAACGGAACCATCGCTACAATAATTTACAATATTCTTCGAGATACTCCCATCTTCCATTCCCCGTGTCTTCGACTTCCGTAGAAATGTCACGGATATTGGCCATGTTTTTCTCCCTTACTTGCTTATTCAATTGAAAACCATTCGAACAGACATTCCTCCACGAAGAAATCGAAAATACCGCTTTTTAGATAGAAGAAATATTTTCTTTTCAATAAAGATTATATAAAAAAAAAAAAAGATATGCTACGTTGACGTGGCGTGAAAATGACCGACTTAACGTGCAACTTTTAATAAGGATGATAATATAAAAGGAGTGATAGAGAGAGGGAAATACGGTAAATTGAGGTAACACGAAAATTTCAACTTCTTGCGAAGTTGAAACGATCGAGAATCCCTCCGACACGCCACGTCGCGCTAAAAATAATTTTTCGTCAGAATCAATGCGTCGCCGTCGCATTTTCGCCAACTATCTACAACCTCTCCCACCTCTTTCGCCCTTATCGATACTGCACCAACGATTAAAACCGACAAATTTCCCCCTCCCCGTGAAACTTGCTCCTCGTGGAAATCTCCATAACCGCCGAACTTTGTCGACGAAATTTCCAAATTGGCCCAGAATTCGCAAGAAAATTCCACGTACCGCGATACACCGCAAACCTACGAACGAACCAGAAGAGCAGAAGGTGACAGAAGCGCGCGTTCCAGCGGCTCCCACACGTTCGCCATGGCCACACGCAAGTACGATGATAAACGTCACGGCGCGCGTTACGACATCATCGATCCGCGGCCAACGGAACGCTCGTACGTTTCTTCCAGAGCGACCAGCCGCGTCGGTCTACTCTGTTATACACCCTCCTAGCTTCGTTCAATTACTCTACAACCCGGGAGAACCGTCTCTGCACACGTACATACAACCCAAAAAGAGAAAATAAAAGGAAGAAGAAAAAACAGAAGGGGGTTGTTCGATTCGTCAGATCCCAGGGTCCGAACGAACCCCTTTTCTTCCACTTTGCCTCCTTACTACCGCGAGTGAAACAAACGGCGACACGCGTTACACACCTTACTCTCACCGTGTGCTTCCCTTTTTTTTCCACCCTCTGTCAGCCGTCGTTTCACCACTCTCTCTCTCCCGCTCTCTCTTTGCGTGGGAGAGCCTATGAATGGGGCGCGTCCCTGCGTGACGTCACGTTCCACGGGTAGGGAGCTGGGGTCAGGAATGAAGCGCGGGGTGGACGAAGGTGTGGGTGGCTGTGGATGGATGTTGGAGAGAGAAGGAGGGAGGGAGGGCGAAACGTGACGCAACATATTGATCTAAGTT